GTCGATGGTGATGGGGGCGTGTCCGTATCTCTGCTTCTTCCTGTAATCCACAATCAGCTCCTTGGTTTTGCTGACGTTGAGATGGAGGTTGTTGTCCTGGCATACATACATAAGTTGCTTTCTATTAAAAACACTAAATTACGATGAAGGAACTTAAAACAATACAAACTGAACAAAAATGACATCCTGGAGATAAAGAGAAGTTCGTAAGGAAGTGTTGTTTTCATGAAACCTGCTGCTGGAGGTTGGGAAGCTTGTGCTTGGCTTTTGTGCAGAGTAACAAGCTGCTTGTCCACTTGCTTCAGCTGCTTCTGCACCTCTGCTGCCTCCTCCTGGACAAAAACTGAATTACCACACATAACAAAGAAAATTAACATCTGAATGTTTCATGTCAATACTAAGAAAATAACACTTTGATAATTTATTATCAAAATGAATTGATGATTAAAGTTACACTTGGAAACTGTGAAGTTTGAATATTCATACAGAACAGGATAATGTCAGTATGACCTTTACCTCTGACCACCCAAACTTAATTGTCCCTCACCTTCTCTTATTAGGCAAAATACCTAATGAATGCAAATACAATATTCTCGGTGACTTTCACAGGCTTCCATTGCAAGATACTCTGGATGGCAAATAGCTTTTACACTGTGAGGTGAGCTTTTCATGATCCAAGACATGTGTACAACTAATGTGCAGCATGCTTCCAAAACAACAAGAGCAACAGATGTGATCTACATTTGGACATCCCTTATGAGGGTTTTGGTAGTTTCTTTGTCTTGTTTCTACTAAGTGCCTAAACCCACAAAAGGAGGGAAAAGATCAATCTTTTCATTCTTTTGCTCTTTTGTCATGGAAGGTGTCACAAAAATACAACAAATTGGTCGAAAACATCAGCTTCAAAATAAAATATATGCATTAGCCTCAATGATAATTCCATAAATGTAGATATCAGCGATCCCTCTGATTGTCCATTTTGTCCACTTCCAGTTGGCCCTGATCGTGGCCTATGTGCTGGTTATCCCTATACAGCATGGGAAAGTACTGATTATGCTCACCAACCTGGGAATCATTGTGTAAGTGCTTTCCCTGTGGTTGTGAATATATAATTGGATGGTTAGATGGAGGGAAAGACACTGTTACTGATAGATTTTTACTTTTCTCTTCTGTGTCTCTCAGGCTCACCATCGGCCTGGTGATTCTCCAGGTTGCTCTGGTGCAGATCTTCTTCCTCCAGGATGAAATATCTCCGACAGATAAGGAGAAACCTTGAGTGAGCCATAAAAACATCAGATGGACGACACAATAAAACCCAGATCCTCTTTTAGCCTGCAAATACTTCCGAAAGAGGAAGAGCTGGTAATAAAGCACTCGATTAAAATGTGAATATTTAACTATTTGCTGTGTTATGTGGACTGGTTAAGGATATTACGTGATGAAGAAGTCCTTACACTTCATTTCCTCAATATGTGTGAAAGAATAAAAAACCTTCATGTCTAAGGGCCCAGTCAAACATATCACAGGTCAAAGTTCAACTCCCAGCAAAGCCATGCAGCAATTTGGTATTGTAATGGTGAGTGTGTTTGTGTGACTGGGCCCTGATAAGTTCATCAGTTCAGATGACTTTCATTCACTCTGCAGTGGAGACAGACATCACAACAAGACACTACAATTGTGATGGTCAGTATTCAGAGATAAGGTTTTACCATAACATCAAGGAAAGTCTAAAACAAGAGATTGTGGAAAAGGCTGGTCAATACGTCTGTGTGACAACAAAWGGGGAATACTACTTCAAAATCCCTGGACAGGCTAATTTACAATACAATGTGCTCCAATCTGCCAGTGACCCATTTGCTCAATTCCTTCCACACCTCTGCCAAGG